CAATTTTAGCGATGAGCACGGGCATATGTCCGTTCATATCACGAATAAAGTCTCGAACCTTACGAATTTCTGCAGCATTGCTCACGAATGACAAAAAGACATAATCTATTTTGTTCTTCAGTCCTAGGAAGATGTCATTTTTATCCTTCTCAGTCGGCACACTCTTATCCATTTTCATATCCGGGATGTTTACCGCCTTGTTAGGTTTGACCATGTGATCGTTCATTGCCACACATACGATCTCATCGCCATCCAGATCAACCACCATTCTTAACTTGCCATCATCTATGAGAACGTCCATTCCTTTTTAATTTTGTCAAGATTGTCTAAATTAATTCTAATCTTTCCGTTTCCGTCCAGTCCTGAGAGAGAGACCCTTTCATTCTTTTTGATTTCAACTGGTTCGTCCAATCTAACGCGCATTTCGGGCCCTCTCGTATCGAATGCAAGGAGAGGATACACACCATTTTCTCGTATTTTTACTATGTGGTTGACCGTTATTTGTATGTCATCATATCTCCCGTGGCTCATGTTAATCCGTGCTATATCCATGCCACTCATCTTCAGCTGCTTTAACGCATCCTCAGTGCAACATTTTGGACCGATCGTGCAGATTATTTTTGTACGTGTGTGTTCGGTAAGTTTCATATCCCCGAGCCTTTGTGCCATTTTATTTTAAAAATTCTTCTAAACGAACCAATAGAATTATTCTTTAATGAACGAATGATGACACAGTGCTCATTTATCACGTGGTTTAATTAAACGCTTAACACAGGTTTCGCAATTGATTGGTTTGCGCAGGTCAACATGCCCGAAATAAATCGAAAATGCCGGGACCATTCACACGACATATAAAGCAAGCTGGTTGATTTATTTGAACAAAGCTGATTCAAACTATGAACCGAAGGCCGATGGCCGTGGTTTGTCCCGGCAAATCAGAGAATTGCTTGTGCTGTGAAGTGATAAATAAAAGCTTTTTTATTAAGAAAAGACCAATTCAGGACATAGTGACCATTGAGCAATTAAAAAAACGAAACACGCGATCTCGAGAAATTTTACTGAACAGAGAAACAATTCTTAAGTGAAAATTGGGCATACAAACGATCGTGGAGATGAAATGATGAGTAAAATGCTTTAAATGATAAAACATGACTACAAATAAACATATTTAAGAAAAAAATTAAAAGCTATACTGATAACAAACACAAAGAGTAGGCTACACAGTAAATCTCTAACATCACGAGATTAAGCTCCTAAATACAAAAAGTTGGTGATCATGGTCTGTCTGTAAGGATCAAAAGAGAATTTGATGTGAGAGTTAATAACAATAAATGGTTGGATGTTATTGTGTGTGATAACAATTAGACCGGCTTTTACCTAAAAAAATAAAAATAAAGATCTCAAAAAGACGAATTTTTGTGCTTAAGCGTGGAACTAACGTCAAGGCCTTTTCACATGTTTTAAATGGTCCGTTTGTACTTGGAGAAATAAAATTTGCAAAATGTTTCTGTATGAAAAGCGATAAGAAAAGGAAGTTAGACTAAAAAATGTCGATATAGATGCACAGGTAAGAGCGTAGCAATTATCACGTGTATTGTTAAAGAAATTATTTACAGATGATAAAAACAGAAGTAATCAGAAAAGTGCATATATATGGTGACAGAAAATGAATAAAGCATCTTTAATATGAAAAGTCAGGGCAAAAGGGACAATGATCGTCTTTTTTTGTCACTTTTATGCGTATATCAGGTCATTAATGGTAAGTGATATCTAAGAGTACCTGTTTAATGTGTGCTGGTACAGTCGCATTGCCAATATACGTCCATTTTACCTTGTAATTAAAATATCTATTTAATTTCTTTCCTCACACTTAACGGTATTACAAGGATTAACACACTCCAAATCAACACACACACAATCCGGCACACAGTCTAATCCCTCTAACTCAGGAATATAAACCGTTTTGTTGATTGTGACGGCCGGTTCATCTTTAACAGTGCTGTACACCACCTTATCAGTCGTGGTAGTAACGGTCACGTATTGCGAACGAATCTCCTGGACGGTGCTAAAGTGCTGGCTCTCCTTCGTAAAGGTGCTCAGCACAACACGTGATATTGTAATCGTAACCGGCTTTTCAATGATACGTGACTGGTAGAGTGTCAGCAGCTTAGTTTCGGTCTTCTCCACTGTGTAAGGCACACTGATATTCTTGGTTAGTGTTACCGATTTGTAGAATGTTTGTGGAACTGTTACGGTACTTGTTAACGTCTTGCTCTTCACTTCTGTGACCTTTTCAGTCACCGGAACAGTCTTTGAGACCGTTATGAACTGGCTCTCACGGACTGTCTTGTCTATGGTTGCAGTCTTTGTGACAGTTTCAACCACTTTGATCTTCTGTTTCACCGTTTCTGGTACTTTGACGGTCACTTTTTCTCTTGAAGCACACTGCTTTGCGCATGCTGGTCGGCAGAAATTGATACGACCAGGTTTAGAAACATTGCCTTTCCCACAGCATATCATGAAATCAGCCTCTGAACACCTATCATAGTCTTGTAAAATGATTATTGGCTCAAGTCTCCTTGCAAATTTAACGGTCGGTGCGACACCTGCAGGCGGTTGGCTTGGTGCTGGTGGTGCCTCTCCTGCACCTGCACTTTGAGGCTGAGCAGCTGACATCGCTTCTGGTGCTTTTGATTCTGAAGCTCCGCTTGGTGCACCTGTGGGAACAGACTGAGCACCTCCTTCTTGAGCACCGCCAGCACCACCTTCAGCACCACCTGCACCTCCCTCAGCACCGCCAGCTCCACCTCCCTCAGCGCCACTTGCACCACCTTCAGCGCCACCTGCACCACCTGCACCACCTTCAGCACCGCCAGCACCGCC